GTCTGGCGAGCACACACGCCCTATAGCAAAAACCTCTCCAAAAAAAGAAAAGAAAAAAAAAAAAAGAAGATAGATGCTCAAAGGCTGTCAGTACCTTTTATTTTTTGAGAGGTTTTTGCTATAGGGCGTGTGCGCTCACCAGAAAGACAAGAGACAGAGAGACAGAAAGTGAGAAATCACCCTCCAGGGGGGATGGCCACACCGCAAACCCTTCTCCTCCACTCTCCTCTTGGGGTCCTGGGCACACACGCACATGCACCTGGCTTGAGCCTAAACCACCATATCCAGGACTTGAACAGTGGTCGACTACATAGAAGTCCAGCAATGTAGCCATTACACTAACTGCTGGTCCCTGTCAGTGCCTTTTAACAGAATATAAAGCAGGTTCATTTCAGAACCTCTCAATAAAGATTTACTGACACTAAATGTTAAATATTAAGAATATAAGATTAAGTTCTTATATTCTTGTATTTCTTATTCTTATAAGAAAACAATTCCTGGTTCAGTTTTGAGAATGGTAAAAGAATAAATTTGTTTTTGCAGGACAGATCTCACCATCGATAGGGCTAAAACAGAAATTCTGTTTTTGTATATAAATATTTATGCATCAGCATATTTATACCAAATTTCATTTTCATTTAACCCGTGAAAATTCTTCTTTTTGGAATGGAATTAATTTCATTATAAATAATTTTTCATTATTTTACTTTCAGTGCAACTTAAAGCTTCTAAGACTTAAGTTAAAATGGAGGAAAACAAAGAAAATACGCAATGCAAAAAAATACTGACTTTGGCTTCTCTGGTGGTGGTGTGTATATGTGTGTATATGAGTATAAATGTCTTTTGGTGTCAGATATTAAATTGTAAACACATCTAAATAAAGCAGCAGAGAAATGATATGAGAGTCATTATCAGGGTCTTGAGTACCTGGTTCTTCTCCTCGTACTCTATGGTTCTGAATAACTTCCAGAAGTTGCTGGGCTGCTTGGTTCACACTCATGTACCGAGGAGGTTCGTAGATCTTCCTTCCCCTACGAACATAAACCAGATGCCATTGTTCTTAGCCATAAAATTACCTAATACGTTATTAATGCAGTTATTCCCCGATACACTGGAGTACCACAGCCTAAATTCCATTTGAAGTTCTCCCATAATATCTTCCCACTTTCAGAATACACTAAAACATGGGTAGAGGGATTGTTTAAGTGCCTTAAGCTTTTTCATTGTTCTACTTCAACTGTCCTCTGATCTCACTGAAATGATGACAGAAATAGAAGTCCAATAACCTAAAAATATGTACTTTTACTCAATGGAATGTCTTAGATAAAAATAATTCAAAATAAATGGCAATTTGGCCTAGCTTAATCAAGGTTCTTTTTATTAGTAGGTTTAAACTACAGATTCCTCTTCTCATTTCTTCCCTTAAGAAAAGTAAACTGAAGCAGTAAACATCTGAACATCTTAGATGGTAACACATGTTTACCTCTATACACTGTAAAACCTACCAATTTGCCCAATGATCATAATAACAAAAATACAGCTTTTGTAGCTTGTAAACTAGTTCGTGAAGATTATTTCACTGAGTCTAAGAACAATACTCTAAGTGCTAGCCCACAAAATATAATGCAAAGCACGAACATCATCTTAAGTGCTCTAGTAACAACATTAACAAAAGCGAAAAAAGGAGAATTAACTTTATTAATATACTTAACCAAATATACACAAAATATTATATTTTAACATTCATTTATATAGAATGATTAAAGAAACAGTTTTTATTTTAATCTTTGAAATCTGAAATAAGTTTTACAGTATATTTTAATTTGGATATTACATTTTCATTGGAAATAATTTATATTTAAATTTCATAATATTTGACAGTTAAAAATAAATTAAATGTATGGTTGTCAAAGTAGATTTAAACATTGAACTTGCTCCAAATATACTTAAACATTTTGTAATTATAAAACAGAGTCATCAGTTTTAAAGTAATGAAGATTAAAGGAAAAATTCAGTCCCTCAGTTGCATCAGCCACAGTTCTGGGGCTCATTAGTCACACATAGGTATGGCTACTATACAGGACATTGCTTCTCTAAGAAAAAAAGGGCTAGACTATCACTATCCTAATATGAGGAGAATAAGGCTCAGAGATGGAAGTAACTTGCCCAAGAGCAGATAGCTAGAGGCAGACTCAGGACTCAAACCCATGTTTTCTGACTCTCAATGTATTCATTCTACAGATTTTCACTGAGTGCCTATTAGATACCACCCACAGTTCTCAGTGTTCTTGTTTTTCTTTTTAGAGAGAGATTTTTGCTATAAGGTGTGTGTGCTCACTGGAAACAGAGAGAGAGAGACAGAGAGACAGAAACGAGAAATCACTCTCTGGGGGGGTGACCCCACCGCAATTTCTTCTCTTTTATTCTCCTCTTGAGATTTTGGGCTTGCATGCATATGTGCCTGACATGAGTTTCAAGTGGGTCCAGGACTTGAACTGCAGTCGGCCATGCGGGAGTCCAGCGATGCAACCGTTATGCCATCTGCTAGTCCCCAGTTCTCAGTGATGAATCTATGAATTGTATTGCTATTTCCATTCTCTAACAATGCTTATCATTTCATAACATTATGAGTAAAAAATGTTTAATGTTAATAAAAGCTGATTTTTAAGAAATCTTTAGAATTCACATCACTTAAGTAGAATTTATTGAGTTGTTTAAGGAATTAAAATTAAAATACATAAGCATTTGCAGAGTAAGTACTTACTTGATTAGATTTTCCAAAGACTGCTCTTTTACTTTGATATCTGAAGGGGATGAAAAAACAGTTCTTTGATTAAAGTAGGTGTAATACTTTATCCAAAACCCTGTATGTAAACTTAGGTGAGTTACCTAAATTTTGGGGAAAAATTCTTTCCAAGTGTCCAAATTGTTCATCTGAGAGTTTGTCACAGTCTTTCCCCCCATTTGTTATCCAATGTCTTAAGGAGATACAGAGAAGAATGGAAGTCTGTGATTATGTAAATGCCACTAGTCAGAAAACCACCATGAGCTTGGCCCTGAGACCATCCTGTAAAGATCTAATTTTTTTTTGAAAAAAGAAAACAAAGGATTAGATAAACATTGGCATCTACACTACCTACCAGCTAATCAAAATCTTTGTTTTCATTTTTAGTAGTTGGTAACTGCATACTTGCAACTGAAAAAGTCTTGTTATGTTTCTGTTCTTACCTATTTTTATGGCACCAGAATGTAAGCTTCAATACATATAACGTAAACTTACCACATTTTCAAGAGAGATTTTGCTTTTTTGCGAATGGTAAGACATGCCTTAATTACAGATAAATGCTTCAAAACCAAGTATCCATAGTTCTAACAAGGCTCTAAAACACTGAACGGGCATCAGACACAATGTCAGATGCAGGATACCATAGAGATCTAACCGGACAGAATCTCTACTTTCATGAGGTGTGATAGTCTAAGCATCACAAAGAGTTGGTTCTTTACATTTCTTAATCACTGATGCTCAGCTGAGCTATTTGGTAAAAGTTTAAAAAAAAAAAAAAAAGCAGAATCACTCTACATCCTCACAGGAACTCAGTACACAACAAAAGAGCAACAGCTGCTTCCTGTTTTACATGCCTAAAACAAATGGTTCAGCCAAAGTTTGTTTTTGCAAAAATAAATATAGTGTGACTGAGAAGTCTTAATAGACTTCTGCAGCTTTCTTAAGTAATTTAAGTCTTTCTTATAAAGGGTACTAACGAGTTTGCTTGAAAATTAGAGTAGAGATTAATCTCATATAGGTATCATTCAAAGTTCTTGTAACTGGCATTTTAAACTTTTTGTCAGGCTTGAAATGGTGCAAATTATTTAATATTTCTATTTATCTGGCATATATGGGAAAAAATACGTATCTGTTATTGAAAATATGGTCTCCAATACAACTAATGATATAACTGAAGCTTAAGACTCTTAAAATGATGTTTGTGATATTCCTAAAAATTCAACACTTTATTAATTCATTTGTCTTGAGCTTCTGATATGATATTTGAGATATATTTCTGATTTACAAATTTAATAATATGTTCTTTAGAATCTGATTTTTTAAATTAAGAGGGTTGTGAATTTTTATAGGCAAATGCTTTTCAACGATAATACTACATTAGTGAATTAGTCTCAATCTGGACTAGTCTTGCCACTGTACTTTTCCTGCCTGTCTTTCCACAGCCATTTTTTTTCTCTACTTCTTGTTCGAGTGTAAGCTTCTCCTATTCATCTTAGCACAGGACTGGTATAAAGTGAAGTGCCCGGTAAATGCTCAATTAATGGCTATTGAATAAGCTTATTCACTGGCGATTTTATTACCCATGCACCAGACCATCCTGTACAATCCACCTTTTAAGCAACTAAGTCCCAATTCATTTTTTTCAAAAAGTCTGTTGACATCTCCACAAATGCTTTGTTCTTAAAAATATCGCTAAAACTAATGTTAAACTGTATTAACCTGTAATTATATAAATTGGTCGTGCATAAGTAAATTTAAAATTCTCTGTGGTTCCTTACCAGTTTATTCTCATTAATACCTACAATGCTTGGTTCGCTGAAGCATTCAGTAAATACATACTAACTTAAATGATGAGAATGCCAGGTGATTAAACAATGATCTATGGTTTGAGGATTTGGAATCATGACATTTTATACTTCACACCCTGTTCCTGCTTTTGTTTATAGAGCAAGGAAGATATATTGTTTAACTTTGTCTTTTCCCAGGAAAGCTAAGAAAAGAGGCAGCTCTTAGAAGGAGGACTTAAGAGCCAAAGTTCTGGTTTGTCCTTCCTGCCGCTTCATACAATATAACTTAACTGTTCTTTAAACTCTCATGTGCATAACGCATCAGTTCCAAATGCTAGGTTTCAAAATGCTGAGGACAGGACCCACGTCTAATACTTCCTTAGTATTCCAAAAAAACCTAAATCTACACTGAGCATACATAAACACCCAATAAATGTCTGTAAAATGATTTTCTACTTTTATGTCCCAAGTTTTCTGAAAGATAAATGCTGCTCGCCTTCATTCCCTCTACTCTCAATGAATATATGAGGTAGTTATCAGGTAGCCTACTTCTCAGACTCTTCTTCCTGTTCTAGAAACTTACAGTTCTGTTGTAAAACACACATATACAAACCAGTATCTGAACTCCAATGAATCCCCATGTTTGGGCCCTGAGTTATAAATACTTCTACTTTTTCTTTTAACAAATTCTTCTTAACAGCTGTCCTCCTCTCATCGGCTTGGCATTCTACCCACTGCTGGCTTTAACCAGATCTAAGTCTGGGATAACAAGACAGACATATCTGATGGCATAGTCTATACCAATGAACAAGTAACTTACAGTGTTCTCTATAGTAAAGACCATAAAAAAGTAAGACTAGTCTCTCTCTCTTTTTTTTTTTTTTTTTTGGGGGGGTTTTCCCTATAGGGCATGT